TGAGGTGAGTGGATTGCCTGAGCCTGCGGGTTCGAGACCCGCCTGGGCAACTTGGTGAGACCGCATCTCTACAGTAAATCAAAAAATTAGGTGTCGTAGAGCGCACCTGTAGTTCCAGCTGCTTGGAAGGCTGAGGCGGAAGGCTCACTGGAGCCCAGCAGGTCGAGGCTGCGGTGACCTGGAGCGGTCACTGCACTCTAGTCTGGGCGACAGAGTGAGACTACAACTTAAAAAAAAAAAATCGTACTTAGCCTTCCTTCATTATTTCAGCAGGAAAAACAAGTGATGTGTTAAAGGTGGTCAGCCAACTATTTTCTGGTGTGTCTTCCAAGTTCCTAATAACAATTAAGAAAAGTACCCTATTATTCTGTGGTCTGATAGCCTAATAAGATACTATCAAGAATCTTAAGGCTGGTGCAGTGCCACATACCTGCAATCTCAGTACTTTGGGACGTCAGGTGGGAGAATCACTTGAGGCCCAGAGTTCAAGGTCAGCCTGAGCAACATAGTGAGACCCTGTCTCTACAAAAAATTAAAACGAAATTAGCCTGATGTGGTAGTACGTCCTAGCTATTTGGGAGGCTGAGGCAGGAGACTCTTTTGAGCCTAGAAATTCAAAGCTGCAGTGAGCCATAATCACACCACCTTACTTAGCAAGACCCTCCCTGTCTCAAAGAAAAAAAAACAGAAACTTCACTTACAGGAGGACCACTATTGATACATGCACTGTCACCTTTTGCCATTAGGGGTGTCCTCAGCAAGTCTTGGAACCAAGTCACTTCCCAGTTTTTACAACCCATTGCCCAGTGGGGAAATGTCCTTTAGTCAGTGGAATCTGAGAGCAGAGCAAGTATAGAGCCGCATACCAAGTACTGAAAGGTTACTGAGTGAACAAAAGTAGAATCAATGTGTATTTTAAAGGCCAATTGTTCCTATTCAAATGTGAGTTTGAAGGGAAGGAGGCCCAGGCCTTGAGACCATTTTCAGTTCTGCTACTTGAATAACAACATCTTTGTTTCTCAAGCAGCAACAACTAAAACCAGCAAAGCCCTCTGGAACTTCAGTTCAAACTAGCTCTGACTTAATTTTCTTCAGAAAAGGATCTGGATTAATACATAAATATACTAGATAGTGCTTTGTGTTCTGGTTTTTCCATTTTGTGACAAAGCAAGAGAGACCCTTTCATTGAAGATCTTTAAAGTGTTCACTTGGTCACAATCAAAATAATGGTAACATAGACATATACAAGGGGAACCCCAAAAAAACAGGAATTATTTTTGGAGGCAGGCTCCTTGTAATAGATGCTTCCCCCACTAGGTAAGTGTTCTAGGAACCCACCAGCATCAGTGTACCAGCTAGTGTTGTTGTGAGAGGCTGCATTTAGCTTCAGTGAATTTTTTTTTGAGATTCTATCAGTGCATTTGCACATTTTATGATGGGTGATTTACGAGCACAACTGCCAACACTGCACTGAGTGTTCAGTAGTTTTTGACCAAAAACAACATGACTCCTTTGCCTCACTCTCTGTGTTTACCTGATCTTATCCCAAGCGACTTTTCTTTGTTTACCCAGATTTAAAAAGTCTTCAAAAAGAAATGTTTTGCCAATGTTAAAAAGGCCAAACCAAAAACAGCAGGAGCACTAAAAGTTATCAAAAGTTGTCCAGGCAGATCTTAATTTGCTGTTACTGTTCAGGCAGTCCTCTCACCTTGGCCTCCCAAAATGCTGGGATTACAGGCATGAGCCACCGTGCCCAGCCTAAGTGCACAATTTTTAATAATTAATTTATGGCCAGAATTGCCTGAGCCCGCGGTTTCGAGACCAGCCCAGGCAATTTGGCAAGCCCTCATATCTACAATAAATCAAAAATTGGCCGGGCATGGTAGTGTGGGCCTGTAGTTCCAATTACTTGAAAGGCTGAGGCGGGAGGATCACCGGAGCCCAGCAGGTTGATGCTGGGGAGGCCGTGAGTATGCCACGGCACTCCAGCCTAGGCGACAGAGTGAGACTCCAACTAAAAAAATAATAATTAAATAATTAATGGGGTTTTTTGGGTCCCACCTCATGTGTATATGTGTGTGTGTGTGAGTGTGTGTATACACATATATAAAATGATCAGTTTAATGGACGTAATCAGATACATGTAAGAATATTTGTTGGTTGGGCTCAGTGGCTCAGCCTATAATCCCAGCACTTTGAGAGGCTGAGGAGAGTGAATTGCCTGAGTTCCCGGACCAGCCCAGGCAACTTGGTGAGACCTCATCTCTAAAATAAATTTTTTTTTTTTTTTTTGAGTTGGAGTCTCACTCTGTCACCCAGACTGGAGTCCAGTGACCGCTCCCGGCCACCGCAGCTTCGACCTGCTGGGCTTCGGCCATCCTTCCGCCTCAGCCTTTCAAGTAATTGGAACTGCAGGCCACCAAGCCCAGCTTAAAATAAGTTTTTAAAAAAGTAGCCAGGCATGGCAGTGCGCACCTGTAGTTCCAGCTACTTGGAAGACTGAGGTGGAAGGATCACCTGAGCCCAGCAGGTTGAGGCTGTGGTGGCCGGGAGTGTGCCACTGCCCTCCAGCGGGGTGACAGAGTGTGACTCCGACTCAAAAAAAAAAAGACTATTCGTGACATTCGTATGTACAAAGCAGCTTTTTTTTATCACTCTTGATTATATTACATTTGTATATAAAAATTTACTTTATTTGGACAGATCTTAATTTGCTGTTACTGTATCAAGGCATTGCCACCATTTTGGGTTTGTTGTTGTTTTTTTTGAGTTGGAGTCTCACTCCGTTACCCAGGCTGGAGTGCAGTGGCATACCCACAGCCACCCCAGGGTTGACCTCCTGGGCTCCAGCGATCCTTCCACCTCAGCCTTCCAAGTAGCTGGAACTACAGGCACACGCTACCATGCCGGTCTAATTTTTCATTTATTGCAGAGACTAGGTCTCACCAAGTTGCCTGGGCTGGTCTCGAACCAATGGGCTCAGGCAATCCACTTGCCCTGGCCTCCCTAAGTGCTGGGATTACAGGCTGAGCCACCAAGCCCAGCCACCTTTTTGTTTCTGGTTTTTATTTTTTGAGTCAGGGTCTCACTCTGTTGCTCAGGCTGGAGTGCAGTGGCATGCTCACAGCCACCACAGCCTTGACCTGCTGGGCTCAGGCAATCCTTCCACCTCAGCCTTCCAGGTAGCTAGAACCACAGGCACATGCCACCACACCCAGCTATTTTTTTTGGTTTATGTAGAGACAGGTCTTGCTGTATTACCTAGGCTGGTCTCGAACCCCTGAGCTCAGGCAATCCTCTCACCTCCACCTCCCGAAGTGCTAGGATTATAGGCCTGAGCCACCGCCTGGCTTTTTTTTGAGTCAGAGTCTCACTCTGTTGCCCAGGCTGGAATGCAGTGGCTTACTTACAGCCACTGCACCCTTGACCTGCTGGGCTCAAGGTGTTCCATCCACCTCAGCCTTCTAAGTAGCTGGAACACCAGGCATGTGCCACCATGCCCGACTGATATTTTGATTTATTATAGAGACAAGGTCTCGCCATGTTGCTCAGGCTGGTCTCAAACCCCTGAGCTCAGGAAATCCTCTTGCCTCTGCCTCCCAAAGAGCTGGGATTACAAATGTGAACCACCGCACCCAGCTGTGACCTATTTCTTAACCAAGATGGTAGCTAAAAGGGTGTGTTCATGGCATAATAATTCATTTAACTATACACTGCCAGCCAAACTGGAGTGCAGTGGCATGATCACAACTCACAGCAGCCTTGAACTCCTGGGCTCAAGTAATCCTCCTGCTTCAGCCTCCCAAAGTACTAGGATTATAGGCATGAGTCATTCATTGTGCCTGGCACTATATGTATATATTATTCTTCAATTAAAAATGTAAAAAATTTTCTCTACAGAAATCATGCCCAAGTTCAAACAACGAAGAAGAAAGCTCAAAGCCAAAGCCAAAAGATTATTCAGAAAAAAAGAAGCTTCTCACTTCCAATCCAAGCTAATTACACCTCCACCTCCACCACCCTCACCAGAAAGGTAAGACATAATGTGGAACACCAAAAATTGAGAGATCTGATCAGGTTAGGATAGAGTTACCAGATTTAGCAAATAAAAACATAGAATGCAGCCGGGCTCGGTGGCTCAGCCTATAATCCCACGCCTTTGGGAGGCTGAGGTGAATGGATTGCCTGAGCCCGCAGGTTCGAGACCCGCCTGGGCAACAAGACCTCATCTCTACAATAAATCCAAAAATCAGCTGGGCATGGTAGCGCATGCCTGTAATTCCGGCTACTTGGAAGGCTGAGGCGGAAGGATTGCCGGAGCCCAGCAGGTCAAGGCTGCAGTGGCCGGGAGTGGCCACTGCACTCCAGTCTGGGCGACAGAGTGAGACTCCAACTCAAAAAAAATATATATATATAGAGAGAGAGAGAGAGAGAGAATGCTCAGTTCAATTTGAACTTTATATAAACAATAATTTTTTAATATGTCCTATGCAACATTTGGAATATATTTATACCAAAATTATTCATCATTTATCTGAAATTAAACTTGAACTGGGCCGAGCATGGTGACTCAGCCTGTGGTCCCAGCACTTTGGGAGGCTGAGGTGAGAGAATTTCCTGAGCCTACAGATTCGAGACCAGCCTGGGCAACTTGGTAAGTCAATATCTCCACAATGAATCAAAAAATAAACCAGATGTGGTAGCACATGCCTGTAGTTCCAGCTATTTGGAAGGCTGAGGCAGAAGGATTGTCTGAGCTCAGCAGGTGGAGGCTGCGGTAGCTATGTGCGTGCCATTGCACTGCAGCCTGGGTGAGACTCCGACTCAAAAAAAAAGGGTTCTTTAGAGGCTAAAGGAAAATTTCCCTTTTGTCCTCTGAAGTTTGGCTGAAAAATCAACTGACAAAAGGCAGATTAATTGGAGAAAAGGCATACAAATTTATGATCGTGCACATGGGAGAGAACTACAGCATGATTACTCCAAACCCCTGGTGGGGTTCAGAAGCTTATATACCATCTTGAAGTTACAGAAGAAATGGGGGCTGGAATTATGGCAGAACAGTTTAGGGGAGGGGAAAAGTGGAGGCTTGGCTAGCAAAGGTGATCTTGTTACATAGATGAAACCTCACAGGTAGCAGCCCTCAGAGACAATAGACGGTAAATGATTCTTTCAGACTTTTAGAAATGTCAGACTAGCCAGGCTCGGTGGCTCAGCCTATAATCCCGTACCTTTGGGAGACTGAGGTGAGTGAATTGCCTGAGCCCACGGGTTCGTGACCCGCCTGGGCAACTTGGTGAGACCTCATCTTTACAATAAATCAAAAAATCAACCGGGCATGGTAGCACATGCCTGTAATTTCAGCTACTTGGAAGGCTGAGGTGGAAGGATCGCCGGAGCCCAGCAGGTCGAGGCTGCGGTGGCCAGGAGCAGCCACTGCACTCCAGTCTGGGAGACAGAGTGAGACTCCAACTCAAAAAAAAAAAAGAAAGAAAGAAATGCCAGACTCTCGGTTACTGTTTTCTAGATCTGGACAAGGGAAGGCTTCAGAGAAAGCTTGGCTGCATCAATTCTGAATTTCTCTACAGATGCAAAGCTCTCCCACAAAAGACAACTTGGCAGCTATTCTTGTATTTCTAGACCTCTTAATAGCCATCTTGAACTATGTCAAGGAAATGCATTTTGGAGTGAAATATATTGGTTTCCTTCTATTCAAATGAAGTGAAAATCACAAGGAATTATATTCAAATGCACAGTAACTATTTTCTTCTTTTCTGGTGAATTTAGTAGTATAATCTGGTAACTAGGTAATTAAAGTAGGGCATATGACTAGACTATTATTTTTTTTTAGTTGGAGTCTCACTACATAGCCCAACCTGGAGTGCAGTGGCATGCTCACGGCCACCCCAGCATCGACCTGCTGGGCTCAGGCCATCCTTCCACCTCAGCCTTCCAAGTAGCTGGAACTACAG